TTATAAAAAGAAAGTAGCATACAAATATTTAAATAAAATAATATACTAATAAAAGTTTCTATTAACAATGTAAAAATACTAAACATCTGATGATAGAATAAAGAAAAATATAGAATAATAAAGTTATTCAATGACTATATAAGCCCTTCTAATTTTAATAGCGATTTTATTATTGGGCATATCACATTGACAAATAAGGTGATAATTGAAATTTATTAAAGCAAAACGATCTAATTTGTTTAAACAAGCCAGATCACAATTTAATTTAATTAATATTTTTTAATATTGACCGCGCATCGCGTGAGTACGACTACTACTCAGACTTAAAAAGAAAATAGGTTTGCAAATAAAATTCATCTCGCAGAAATGTAATGCTTTCACTTCACAAATAAAATCAGCTTTCATTTTAGACAAATATAAATTTCCTTTATGACCACTCAATAGTAAAGTCAAATTAGAAACAACTAATCACCACTAATTATTTTGGAATTCATTCAAATAAAATTTTCTTGCAATCAGACCGCCAAAAAATATATATCTCATAGTTAAACGCTACTTTATTCATAGATAATCGATAAAATCATGATGAATATAAATACTTCCTAAGAAGGTAGCAATATGAGTACGAATTTAAAGTTATTCCCACTTTAGTTTCATACGTTCAGTTAAAAAAAAAAATTCAAAATAGCTATACCCCAAAGTATATAACTATATATATTATGTCACGATTTGGTTCCAAGAAGTGGAAAAGATGCATCTCTTAAAATTTGAGAAGTGAGTTTCGGGTTATTAAAAATAGATTATTAAAGAATCATTGTGGGAATTAAATTGAAGGGCAAAACGGTCATTTAAATTTCCACTTTTGATATAGTACACAAAACTGACAAAATTTAGAGTGGTTGGTTAATTAAGCGGACTGTCTAGGTTGGAATTTTCTAATTTGCATGACAATTTGATGGAAGATTTTTTCAAAAAAATTTTGTTTTTTTTCGAAATCGCGTTTGTTCATAAAATTTCCAATTTTCACTTGAAGATGTATTTCGGAAATTTGAAAAACTGCAAGAAGCTGTTTTTCAAAATTTTCACTCAAATCACTCACAAAACTTCAAAAAACAACCCAAACTAAAATTTATGTCCAAACACAACTCTAAACTTCAAATACCATTTTCACTTGAAAAAAAATTTCCCAATTTTTTCGAATTTTATAATTCTTATGTCCAAACGCCTACTAAATATTTTGTTTGTAGTCCATTTCGAATAGAATATAGTAGCAGTCTTCTAAGCGAAATGACTTGCATCTTTGTCTTCTAAACTGAGTCTATTTTTTGTCAGATCTGATAGGGAGTTCCTTTATTATATTGTTGGAGAAGGTATCAAAGCTGGTGCAACAGCCATTTGCCTAGCTGATACTGTTGGATGCAGTTTGCCCACTGAATTTGGACAATTAGTTGCTGACATAAAAGCCAATACCCCAGGAATACAAGATGTAATCATTTCAGTTCACTGTCATAACGATCTTGGCCTTGCTACTGCCAACACCTTAGCTGTATGTACTCCATTTCTAAACTCGGACAATATATAGTATGTGTTTGTGTGGTGAAAAAAATTGGTACATATATATATATATATATATTACTCTAAATACTAAATTCGCCTAACTCTGGTTTATACCAACTTAAGTTAAAATATTGAAGAGTAGTGTGTTCAATTTCAGGGAGCGTGTGCAGGGGCGAGACTAGTTGATGTCACTGTCAACGGCATTGGTGAAAGAGCTGGAAATGGTTCTCTAGAGGAGGTCAGTTATGTGTTTAACTTTTGTACAAACAGACTTCCTATTTGGACCATATATATATATATATATCATATCAAGACTAGCAATATTTTACTTTCTTCTTTACTCAAATTTAGCTTCCTATTCTTTCATAGAAAAAAACCAGAAAACAAACTTGTGTTTGTTTATTGCCATTTTCTTTCCTGCTTTTTCACTACTAAAACGTTTTATACTGGATTTGGTGTTATACACACATGCATTTTATAATGGAGAGAATACGTACAGCTTCTGTTCGATGAATTGTTGAAGACAATTAGACAAGCCATATGACAATTATAATTGTATTCGTGCAACCAGGTTTTGAAACATATTGGGATCCTTTTGCCATCTTGTTACTTATTTTTTTGGTAATAATTTTTTAACCAAAAGATAGTTTCTGTACTCAAAACAAATAAATAGAATAATTCAGGTATCTTACGTCGTCACTTTTTCAATTATGATTGATATGAACAGGAATAACAGTAATAGAGAATAATATTAAGAGAATAAGAAAATAGAAATCTCATTAATGGTAAATGCTTCCAAAAGTGAATGGATGAATTGAGTAAATGCTCATAATAAAAAGTAGAATGGTTACCTAGAACTAGTCCTATAAATAGACACACTTTACCACTATTGTAATCATCTAATTTTCTTCTCTACAATTATATACATTATACATTATAATTCATAGCAGCTTGTTCCCAAGTTTGCTATAGTTCGGCTCTTCAAACTCTGTTCGGCTCATCATCCAATCAAGGATCATCTAATAAGAATTATTTCTTCTCTATTTATTTTTTTCAAATATATTATCTATAATTGAATTCATTTTTGACTTTTCGATCATGTTGTATTAACGAAAATTTATATCTTTCGAATTTAATCAATTGCTTGTGGTCCATCTAATTGCTTTGGCATTGAAAATTATTTTTCGGGTTAAACAATAATGATGTCTATTTCTCTTCGTTGAGATTTTGACTTTCCCTTTACTAAAACAGATTGTGATGGCCCTAAAATATCGTGGAGAGGAAGTACTAGGTGGTCTATATTCTGGGATTAATACAAAGCATATAAGCGCGACGAGCAAAATGGTATAGCCTGTACCCCTATTCTTTACCTTTTGAAATCTGCTAATTCTTTTGTGCTTTTATGTTGACACAATTGTTGTTATATATGTAGGTAGAAGAGTACAGTGGGCTTAAGCTGCAGCCACATAAGGCCATTGTTGGAGCTAATGCATTTTCTCATGAGAGTGGCATCCATCAGGTTTTGTGTTATTTTTAGTGATATTACTATTGTTGAGAGCACAACGTTTTCCCGTTTTAAAGTTAAAGTGTCCATTATATATGTTAATCTACTACATATTGCAATTTCTACCTTCTAAGTGTCATTCAGTTCTCAACTAAAACTTAAAGGTAAGAGAGAATCTGTGTATCATTCTTCTTTTTGGTTTTTTTTTATGTGATTTAGGATGGAGTGTTAAAGAACAGAGAGACATATGAGTTTGTATCCCCTGAAGATGTTGGGTTTCAACGTGTTACTGGACACGGTATTAGTCTTGGAAAACTCAGGTATGAACGATTTTCAGCCACACAAATTGAAACACATATAAGTTTTTATCATTTAAGCTTTTAAGACAATAAATTTAATTTTTTTTAAATATTTTTCTTAAATTTAGTGTCGAATCAAACAAACAATATGAGATAAATTTAAACGGATGGAGTATTCTTTATGCTTAGTTGCTTACACCTCTCTTTCGTTTATATGATATTTTTTTCCTTGTAATTTGTTTCAAAAAGAACGATATATTAATTACATTAACATACTTTTTAATTAAACTTTTTATTTTTTCCTTGATGATATACTATTATGGACATAGAAATATCTTAATATGTTTAAGACTACAGTCTATAAGTTATAAAGATAGCTTCAATATGTGCAAGGCATCTTTCTTTTTTCAACTTTATCCACACTCAAAGACTGCCATATAAATTGAAAATGAAAAGAATTTTGAGTACATTTTTCTTTTCAAATAGGATTATCCCTCCATGAACTCCAATACTGTTTCTAGTTTAATAGTGAATCGTCCTTCATATATAAGAAACTTATTGATTTTATTTTTGCTATAATTAGTCTTTTCCCCGTATTTAGTTTCTTGAAAGTAAAAATAGTCAACAGTAATATATACAAATTTAGTGTCAAAATTATGTACAAACTAATATATGTGGGTCAACTATAGTCATCTATCAAATTGGTCCACGTATCTATATCCCAAGATATATACTCTCTTTACATAAAAATACAAGTAAAAAGAAAAAGGAATATTTTTAATGCTTCTCATATCACTGATCACTATTTTGAAAAAAATATACTTATCTCCTGTCTCCTTTTAGTTATCTATTGAAAGTCCTCGATCTTGTTCTACTCATAATCTTTGATATCCTTTCTAAAACTTTCATCTCAAATAAATTCCAAATCATCTTTCTCAAATAATTAATTAACAGTCGTAACTTTTGTATCATTCAAGCAAACAATATACACTAGTAGTCTTTAAAAACTATACATTTTCCCGCACTATACGTTCTTTAAGAACTGTGCTCATTCTTGATTGTTGCAAATTTGAAAAATTGAAGTTAATTAATTCTTAATTATGTAAAAATGACACTTATTTTGAACCAAAATGAAAAGGTCAAAAAAATCATTTATTAAGGATCAGAGGGAATAGTAGATAGACATTCTCCAAAGTTGTTTCCATACAATTTCACTACTACCATTGTATCACACAATCATCTCCCTTTTTCTCATTTAGATCAATTGAACTACGTACATTTTTCCTTTAAGAATTTGCTAACATGATGAAATTTTTGTACAGTGGGCGCCATGCATTGAAATCCAAAATGCTTGAGGTAAGATACATACCCTAAGAGTTCCATATAATGCTAATTAATATTATTGTGAACGTGGATCAAAATCATTTCATTTTGTTACAGCTTGGATATGAACTTGAGGGGAAAGAACTTGATGACATCTTTCGGCGATTCAAGTCGGTTGCTGAGAAAAAAAAGGTGAGTTCAATTAGTGATATTTCCATAATGCAATGCTCAAATTTATTATTCATGCTGTTTGTGCAATATTTTTTTTCCAGTTCTTCGGTATAGTGAATATGTTTGTCTCGCCTATTTAATTTATCTTCCCTGCATATATCTTTCAGAAAATTGCAGAAGAAGACCTAAGAGCACTTGTATCTGATGAAGGTTTCCAGTCTCAAGTTGCTTGATACTTGAAAATGTCAGTTCAGATGCAACAGTTTGTCAACAATTGATGCAACAGCTTTCTTTTCTTTTATATTCTGGCGAGTTATGTCCCACATTGATTATTCTAGTAAATGTATTTAGAGTATGAGCCTATAGGCTATATAAGGGAAATAGCAGCGATAAGTAAGAACCATCTTTGTATTGTATAAGCATAGCAAAATACGATAGATTGCCACTTGAGCTTGTCCCTAAATTCATGTTACAAATAAGTTAACCACGATAATATATTTACACACACAAGCCTTTTTAAATTGTATCTATTACATATCTTTTCGGTATTTGACTATTTTTTTAGCAATTGTATATCTCGCACCGAAAAAATTACGACCCATGTCATTAACTTTATAAAAAGAATTAAACATTCTAAATTAATTACCCCGTTTGTCAATAAAAATATTCTTTTTTTTCAAAAAATGTGTTTATCCATGAAATTTTTCTTGTTTTATAAAAATTTTAAAAATGAGTTTTCAAAAATCAAAAAGTGATTTTGACCATTTTTTCAAAATTTTCAAAATTTTTTTTCCCGACTCACAAAACTCTGCAATATTTTTTTCAAATAAAATGCATGTCCAAACATAATTTCAAATTCCAAATACATTTTTTCAACTTAACTCCAAATACTACTTTTGTTTTTTAGAAATTACAATTTTATGTCCAACCGCCTACTAAGGCCTCATTTGTTTTTTTTAAGATTAAGACGTCTGAATCTGAATACGCATCTGAATATCAAGATGTGTATTAAGATTAAGACATCTGAATCTGAATACACATCTGAATATATTAAGATGTGTATTAAGATCTGAATAGAAATAATTAAGACTATTTGATTTTTAACATCTGAATGTATAAAATTTATCTTTATTTGAAAATTAATAAACATAAAATTCAAATGAAATACTAACTAATCTAATATTCTATCAATAAAAAATATAGTTTTTTAAAATATGATAGTTGTTGGTGGTGATGGCTAACGGGTGAATGCCGACTACAAGCGGTGGTTGGTGGTATTTTTGGTTGATGATGGTGGTTCATGCTAGTAGCTAGTAGTGATTGGTAGTGGTGGCGATTATGATTGAGGATGGTGGTGGTGGGTGGTGATAGTTAATAATGTCGGGTGGTGGTAGTAGTTGTGATTGAGGAAGGTGGTGGGTGCGTGGTGGTAGGTTATATTGATGGGCAGTGCCGGCTGTGGTTGTTGATGGTGATGGGGTGGTCAGTTGTGGTAGTTGAGGCGGATGAGTATTGATTGTAGGTGAGAATGATGGTGGTCGGAGTGGTGGGGATAGTATGTGGTGATGGTCGATAATAGAGGCTATGATTAAGGATGATGGTGGCGTGGTGGTGGCAGAGGTGGTGGTGGTGGTGGGGGGTGGTGGTGGTGGTGATGGTTGAGTATGGTGGTGGTGGTGGCATGGTCGTAGTTGATAATGGTAAGCGGTGGCGGCAGTTAATAATGAATATATGATAGCATCTTAATGAAATTAAGTCTCTGTTATAGATCTTAATCATACAGACCTATTCAGACCCATTAAGTGGTTGTGAAGTAAAAAAAACAAACATACTTAATGATTAAGATCTGAATAATTAAGATTCAGACTTTAAAAACAAACGCACTTAATGTCTGAGATCTGAATGATTAAGATTCAGACCTCCATTAAGTGCAAACAAATGAGGCCTAAGTATCATTCATTCTCAACTAGAAGTAAGAGAGAATCAACGTCTCATTCTTCGTTTTGGTTTTTTTATGTGATCTATGATGGAGTATTAAAGAACAAAGACACATATGAGTTTGTATCCCCTGAAGAATTGGGTTTCATCGTGTTTGTATCACGACCTAAAATCTCACTCACGTAGTCGTGATAGTGCCTAACATCCCCTTGCTAGGCAAGCCAAAACTAGCTAACGATTTATCATTTTTACAATTCTAAAAGCAAAATAATAAGAAGATAAAGCTAGGAAACTTCGAAATACATAAAAAAAAATCCATACACATTGTCTAGTTTAATCCTAGAAATTGGTGTCACAACTACATGAGCTGCTAGAAGTACTACAAACAGGGTCTGAAATAATAATATAACTGTTCGTAATGAAATAAACAGTAAAGTAGATAAGAAAGGGACTCCAGGGTCTGTGAACACTATGCAGCTCTACCTCAAGTCTCTTGATGAAACGAGTTCGGACAAATCTCCACTAAGCACTGCTGGGACCAACACCAGAATCTGCACAAGAAGTGCATAACTGTATGAGTACAATCGATCCCATGTACTCCGTAAGTGACGAGCCTAATCTCGACAAGATAGTGACGAGGCTATGGCAAGGCACTCACTATAAACCTGTACGAGTATAAGTAGAAAACATTAACGGAATAGAGAAACAACAAATAACATGGAAACCGGAATAAGAAATATGCAACAGAGGCGTACAACCCGATCCCATATATAATTACAATACCATTGCAGCGTACAATCTAATCCCAATATCATATACATATTATAATACTACAATCAACTACGACGTATCTCACAACATAACGGAAAAGAAAACTAAACAAATAAAGTCTCTACGACTGTTCAATGCACATAGTAGAGTGAAATAAAGTAAGTAAGGCAATTAACTAAGTAAATACATAAGACAAGTAAAATCGGCTAATTAACAACATATAAAAGCAATAAGCAAGTAAAAGCGGTCAATAAATGAAGGCGTAGATACATGAAAACATATAGCAAATTGCGGCAAGTAGCTAATGGAAGCATGGATTTAACAAGTAAATGCAGGTAGAAATTAGAGCACAGAACGAATAATACACATGAAGTAAAAAAAAACATGGTATAAATGAAAACATGCAATTAAGTAGCATGTTCCGCATGCTTAACCCATGACGACACATATACACTCGTCACCTTGTATATACACCGTCCCCACACATAAATCACTTAGTAAATAGACCAATCATGCCTTAATTCCCTCAAGTCAAGGTTAACCATGACACTTACCTCTTTCAAGAAACAAGTCAACAGTCAGCCACGATTTTTCCTTTAGAACAAGCCTCCAAACCAACCGAATCTAGCCAATTATCGTTCAAACAATTCAAAACAAGCTTTAAAAATTACCGACTAATGAAAAAGGTTCAATCTTTAACTAAATTGAAAAGGTCAACACAACTCAACCCCGGGGCCCACGTGGTAAAAATCCGACATTCAGACTAAATCCCGATTACCTACTCACCCGCGAGACCAGTTATGTGATTTGTTTCGAAATCCGACCTTAATTCGAGGTCTAAATCTCAATTTTATAAAATTCCTAAATTCTACCCAAAACCCCTAATTTCTACCTTGCAATTCATAGATTTGGTGGAGAAATTCATGAAAAAGTGATTGAAATCTAGTTAAAGTTGCTTAACAATAAATTTAGGAAGAAAATCCTCTTCAAAAATCGTTTCTAGAGAGTTTAGGATTGAAAAATGATGTAAAATGAGCTAAGTCCCGAAAGTTTCCTCTTTTACCCAGCTGTTGATGTTGCAATTGCGAACTCTTGTTCGCAATTGTGATGTTTGCAAATATGAACCACTGATCTCAAATGCATCTGTGTCATAGTTCCCAAACGTCGCAAATGTGACAAAAAATTCGATATTGCGACAGCCCTCTCCATCGCAAATGCGGTCCTAGCTTTGCATTTGCGAAGCTTACCAATTCAGCACTTTGTCGCAAAAGCGACACTTAGGTGGCAAAAGCGAAATCCAGGCATCTGCAAATGCGACAATTTCTTTGCATTTGTGAAACATTCCTACCCATCCCATAGTTTGCATTTGCGAGCCTGACATCGCAAATGCAAGGCTCGCAAGTGCGATCAGGTCTTCGCAAATGCGAGACCTGCAACATTACACTAGCAATTGTGCAACATTACAGCAGCAACTGCTATGCTTCAGCACTTCCAGAATCAACCAAACTTATCTGAAACACCTTCCGAGACCTAGGCTCCAATCCGAACATTCACACAAATGTAACAACATCATACAAACTCGTTCGCTCACTCAAATCATCAAAACAACATCAAATATTTAAAATCGATCATCAAAACTCAAGAATTTCAAGTTTAAAACCAAATTTCTCAACCTTTCACATAATGCGCCGAAACGCCCTCGAGTCACCTGGCATCATCGTAAAATCATCGATCCGAGGTCGTCTACCAAAAATATTGACCGTGATAAACTCAAACCTCATTTTAACAAAAGTCACATTCTCTTTAAAATTACACATAATAGATTTTTGAAGCACGACACGGACCACGCACGCAAGTCATAACTCAACAAATAAAGCTATGTGTTATCTCGAAACATACAAAAAGGAGCTAGTACTCAGAATGACCTATCGGATCATCAAATTCTCCACCTCTAAAAGGAACGTTCGTCATCCGAAGGACATAGAAATAAACCTGGACTGGTAAACAGCTGTGGGTATATACTCCTCATATCGGACTCAAACTCACACGTTGCCTCTTCAATTGGTTGACCTCTCCAATGCACTTTCATAGAAGAAAAACTCTTAGATCTCAACTTTCGAACTTGCCGGTCTAACCTTAGCCACCAACTTTTCCTCGTAGGTCAAATTCTCATCAAGTTGCACCGTGCTAAAGTCTAAAACATGTGACCTATCCTCATGGTACTTTCGAAGTATGCAAATGTGAAATACCGAATGTACCCCTGCTAGGTTAGGAGGCGATGCAATCCTATAAGCAACCTGCCCAACTATCTCCAAAATCTCAAACACGCCAATAAACCTGTTACATCCCATATTTTCATACATGAGAGTACGTCGTAAGTCAATTGATGTAAGCTCATAAATGAGATCATCTTTGAAAGTACATAAAGTAAGTTAATAATATTACCTTGGAGGTTACAAATATTTAAGGTTACGGATACCAAGTACCAAGAGGGTTGGAAGACTTAGAAGCTAAACGAATTGAAGAATATAAGTTTCGTCGAAAGTCGATAAGTTGGAAATGTTATAACATATACTTTTGGGTGAGACTAAGGTGCTTAACATGATAAGTAGGTTATGTTATGAGTTATTATAGTCGTATGATAGTCGTATATTGAGTTTTGAAATCAAGCGAGTTGTGGAACAAAAGTTAGCAAAGGTCGTCACAAGTTGCACTCATAAATGTGCTAAA